CAGGCCCAAAACATCAGCCTTCCTGCTCCTCTGATGCTGCTTGGCCTGCTGTGTTCATCCAGCTCTACACCCTGTTATCTCAATATCTCTTTGCAGCCCCTTAGTGGTCTCCTCACAGCTTATATTAACACCTCACTTTATAATGTCAGCAAACTAGGATATATAACTTTTGATTTCGCTGTCAAAGTTGCTCCTACAAATTGTAAATAGCTGAGGCCCCAGAATCAAAACCAGAACAACAGGTCTGATTGAAGTGTTCAAGATATTAGCAGGAAAAGACAGAGTGGATAAACTATTTCCTGACTCTACTTTTAGCTGTAAAGTGAGGGGTTGGCTTTTACATCAGGAACATTTTGGAAGGATTGAAATCCCCCTCGCCTATTGTCTCTCTATCACAGAGTTGCCGAGTCACAGACTGTTTCTGCCAACTCGTATACAAAAGTAGCACAAAAAGTATTTTTATTTAGAATTATGTGAAATCTAGGTCCCCTATTGTCTATTACAACTAAACTACTTCCACCAGTTGGGGATTCCAGAACTAGGGAGCATAGTCTGAGAATTAAGGCCAGACTGTTCAGGAACTACTTCTACACAGAAAATAAATGCTGGATCAGTTGTTAATTATAAATCCGAGACAGAAACATTTTTGTTAAGCAAAGGTAATAAGGGATATGGGCCAAGGCAGGTATATGGAGTTGGGCCACATATCAGCCATGATCTCATTGAATGGCCTACTCCATTTTAATTTTCACTGTTTAATTCCCTTATCTGATTGACCCAAAGGCAATTGCATCAGATAACAATTTGAACATTGAAAATTGCACATTTTAACTTCAGCCCTCTCTCTCTCAACATCCTTGTTCCTTGTCCTTCCCTTGTTGTTGCTATCTACCTGGAACACAATGACTGGTTCCTTGCCGTCCCACCTCAGGTTGGTGCTGTGGCTAAGGGGAGTGAAAACCGCTGGAGGGAGAAAGGTACCAGAAGCGGGGAAGATCATGGGATGATGTGTTCTTTTTAAGTACAAGCAAGGTTTCATGTTTATTTGTATTGAACCATATTCGTTGGTATCAAGGGAATCACTAGAGGGCACAATTCACCACAATGTTTCTCCAGAACAGTCATTGCTGAAATCAGAGATAGTGGGAACTGCCGATGCTGGAGAATCTGAGATAACAAGGTGTAGAGCTGGATGAACACAGCAGGCCAAGCAGCATCAGAGGAGCAGGAAAGCTGACGTTTCGGGTCGGGACCCTTCTTCAGAAAAAAATTCTAACTGAATTCTAACACTGCAGCCTTTGTGTTCACAGCAATCAGATGTAACACAGAGTAAGTGCACTAAACCTCTTTGAAACGACAATAAAACTAATGTAAAAGTGAAATGTCGAGACGTATGTTTTCTAACACTGTGCAGTCTTTGCTCAAGGTGTGAGCAAATTTATCCAGGGTGTAGCTATGAAGTCGAGCAAGCCCGTTGTCCCAGGTTAGGCCCTCAGCCCGTGCTGATAGAGTGACTACCTCCATCAGAAAGGGGTGAAATTGTTCATATTTCCACCGCCATGCCTCCGTCCTCTATCTGGAGACGATGTGATGAGGCCGGACTGTGACCATCTCTGCAGACTGCCTTGGCAAGCATGGCCGATTGTAACAGAAACACGGCAGTGTATGTCGAACTGTATCCACCAAACGCGAGCAATGTTGGATCAACTGTGATCATGGCACAGCAGGCTCAAGGGGCCAAATGACCTCCGTTTTATGGTCTTCTGGAAGGAGCCGATGCCTTCAGAGCAGGAAGGGAGAATTGCCAACCTGCTTTAGATGTGGTGGGAATTTAAGACAGGAATTTTGTTCACCTTGGGAAGGAAGTATTTAAGTCATATCCAGCATTAGGATCATTACCTTACATCAAGGGCAACTAGAGACAGACTAGAAGTGCTGGCCAGTCAACAACACCCGCATCCCACAATGAATAAAGAAAACATACATCTCCACGTTTCACTTTTACAATAGTTTTATTGTAGTTTCAAAGAAGTTTAGTGCACTTACTCTGTGATACGTCGGATTGCTGTGAACACAAAGATAAATAACAAGCTGACGACTAAAGCTGTTATATTAGTAAACCAGCAAAGGACCTGAAAGCTGGAAAGGCAGTGGGAGTGTGAGATACAATTTTTTTGTTCTCCCTTGTCCCCTGTCTTCTCTCGTCACTCCTTCTCACTTTGTTTCCTCTGATCCTTCCTTCCCTTTTTCTTTCACTTTCTCCCCATTTTCCAGGCTCCAATGTAGGGAGAGAGAGGGAAAAATGAAGGACACTCTGTACTGAGATATGACTCGCTCAGCAATTAGTTTATGATCTGGGTCTTATTTTCTCTGCAGTCTATGGGTCCAGCAGTTCTCTGGCACCATCACATACGAGCCCACGTTGCGGAGTGTAAGATCATTCCCTAGTTTTCTCTCGACAGAGAGAAACCATTTTCTCCACTGGTAAGCCTCGAAATTCGACATGAGCGATGCCAGGAAGCATTTCTTCACACAAAGAGGAGGGCAAATCTGGAATTCTTCCCCCACCACACTGCTGCTGATGTTAAGAATTGATTGAAAATATGAAAACAGAGTGATAGATTTTGTTAGAATAGTTTATGAAAAGTTACAAGAAACAAGGTGGGGAAAATGACTTCAATATACAGATCAGCCATGGTGGAATCAGCTGGATGGGCTGAATGGCCTACTGCTCTTCCTGTGAATGATTGTACAGGTTTGAATGGCCTAGTCCTGTTCCTGAGAATAGCTACACACGTTTGGTGAGCTGAATGGCCTACCCCACTTCCTGTGAATGATTGTACAGGTTTGAATGGCCTATTGCTGTTCCTGAGAATGGTTACACAGGTTTGATGGGCTGAATGGCCTACCCCTCTTTCTGTGAATGATTGTATAGGTTTGATGTGCTGACTGGGCCTTCTCCTCTTCAGCATGTTTCAGATGAAAGCAACGAACTGGGAACGCTATATTCTACGCCATGTGCAAATATGTATAAACAACAGGCTGAATGAGGTATAATGTGTTGAGAACCTATCTTCCATTGTCATGTGTTAAACACAGTGAACTGTTGCTGTTAATTTTATATTGCATGTTATTCCAAAATAATAGAGGAAACTGTTCATCATATACACAAAAAGGAATTGGTGAGATAAACAAAAAAGGTAATGAAGGGCATCCGGGAAGTGAATATTGTAACGTCATACAGCCCAGCTTATGATGCACTGTCTGAAGTGCTTTCTTTATCATGCACTGTCTAAGCTTTTGTATTTCAGATGCGCTGTTGGAGGTGCAGCCTTTCTTCCAGATGCACGGTCTGAGGTGCTGTCTTTATAAAGCACTGGCTGAGGTTTTGTATTTAAGATGCACTGACTGAGATATTGCTTTTATGATGCATTGTCAGAGGTGTTGTCCTTATGATGCACTGAGGTACTGTCTATATGATGCACTGTCTGAGGTACTGTCTATATGATGCACTGTCTGAGGTGCTGTCGTTATGATGCACCGTCTGAGGTACTGTCTATATGATACACTGTCTGAGGTGCTGTCGTTATGATGCACCGTCTGAGGTACTGTCTATATGATTCACCGTCTGAGGTGCTGTCGTTATGATGCACTGTCTGAGGTGCTGTTGTTCGGATGTCAGGTTGAAGGGAGAACCAGCCTGCTCTCAGGTTCATATCCTGATGCTGAATTGCAGAGCAGAGAAATTATCCCCAAAGACCTGGACAATACTTACTGCTCAACTAACATCATAACAATACATTATCTACCCATTATCATTGCCGTTTCTGGAATCTTACAATGTACAATGTGTGCCAAATTTCCTAGCTTAAAGCAGTGATCTGACTTCATAGTGTGCTTCCTACACTAAAATGTACTGTACTCCATTGCCTGTAAAGTTCTTTCTTCATGATCTTCCATCTATTAAAGTGAAGAGAATGTGTTAGAAAGAATTGGGCATTGAGAGATAATAAGTGAGACAGCTACAGGAAGGAAATACAATACTTTTTTGGCAGAATCAACCTGCAAAATGTGAGCAATTCTAGGTCTCTTATCTAAGGAAAGATATACTTGCATTGGAGACAGTCCGGAGAAGGTTCACTCGGTTGATACTGGGTAGGATAGGGACTGATTTATGAGGATATATTGAATAGATTGAGCCTGAGCTTGTTGAAGTTCAGAGGAATGAGAGGTGACCTTATTGAAACATACAAGATTCCTAGAGGATTTGGCAGGGTAGATGTGGAGAGGTTGTTTCCCCTTGTGGAAGAGTCTAGGACCAAAGAGCGGGCCTGTTTGCTCAGGTGGCTGGTTTGTGATGCAGAGTGATGCCAACAACCTGTGTTCAATTCCCACACCTGCTAAAGTCACCATGGAGGACTCTCCTCAACCTCTCCCCTCACCTGAGGTGTGGTGACCCTCAGGTTAAACCACCACCAGCTGTCTCTCTCTCTAATGACAGAGCAGCCCTGTGGTGGTTTTACCTTTTACTGTTTAGAACCAGAAGACATGATCTCAGAATTACGGGTCACACATTCAAGACAGAGCAGTAATTTCTTCTCTTAGAAGGTAGTGTATGTGTGAAATTCTCTCCCATGGAAGGCTGTTGAGGCTGAGTTGTTAAGTGCAGCAAATTTTGTTTGAACTGGCACTCTCAATAAATCAGCAAAAATTATGTTCCTGAAATACTGGAGGTTTACTGCATTGTATCGCAATTTCTGCAATGTCCAAGTAATCAGCTGAGATTGTGAATAAGAAGGCTGTCTGCAGTAAATAAAGTATAACAGTGATGTGTATAATCCCTGCATTACACTTCTATTACTTAGTGTGTGCTTTTACATTGATTATTTGGACCTCTTGATCAACTGGAATGTTTGATCAACTGGCACATTCCTGGTAGGTGCAAGTTAGTAAAAAGTTTGCTGTATATTCAAGGCTGAGATAGATTTCTAATCTTTAGGAAATCAAGTGTTATGGTGAAAAGGCAGGAAAGGAAAGTAGAGGATTACCAGATCAGCCATGATCTCATTGAATGGCAAAGCAGACCTGATGGGCTGAATGGCCTGCTTCTATACCTTATGATCATATGTTGAATTGCATGTTGTATAATCTAATACTCCTGACAATATCAAACTGAGTGTCCTGTGCTTAAACATGTCGTATTACACAAGGGACCAGATGATTACACGAAATAAACTCCAGCCAAGGTGAATGGATTATACAGACAGGGTGCTGAGTCCTGAACCATGGATCCTCCTGTTTGGATAGCGAGTTGTGATGACTTACTGATCTCCCTCTTCTGATCCTGCCTCCCCAGAATTACACCAACTGCTTGCCAGAGGGACTCCCTCATCCTCTGCATCCGTTTTGCGAAGATTTTGTTGTCGGCAGTGACCCAAAGCATCGATGTATCTCAGACTTATTAATATTCCAGAGTTTTAAAAAGCAAGATCTGATTTTTTGAGCACAAGGGCTACTTGGTACAAAAAAGACTTACATTGTTATTGCTTCTTTCTTACAACATTGAAGTGGTGACCTGTGTTGGATACTCAAATCTCTAGAATGGGACTTGAACCCACAACCTTTTGGCTCAGGAACACAGTGCTACCAGGTGAGTCACAGCTGAGGCATCATTATCAGTCCCTTCACAGAAATGTTATCGTCACTGACACAACCTGACAGAAGCTGTAGTTGTGATTTCCTCCAGTTCACTTATTTCGATGCAGAAACTGCCCAATATGAATCAAATTCTGATTGATTTGGAAAACTAAGAAATAAACAATTCATCCCAGCAACTTCTGACTCTTGTAAGACTTGGCAAGTTACTGGCCCTCATACAATTGCCCATTTTGCACTTGTGATATCGAGCAGGCTGCTCAACTAGGTGTAAGCATCATGGTGCAGAACACAATTGTTGTCCTTTCATCTCCACAATCACCTTTCTTCATTTATTCTGGGGATGTAGGCATCTTGGAAAGATGAGCATTTATTGCCCAGCCCTAACTGGCCTTGAATTATCTCAGATGGTGAGCCACTACGCTGAACTGCTGCAGACCGTGTGCTGATAGGATGGGGTTGCATGATTTTGGCACAGCAACTATAAAGAAGCAAGCGGCATCTTTCTAAGTCGGGGTGGTGAGTGGCTTGGACTGGAACTTGTAAGGGGTGTTGTATCTGCCACCCTTGTCCTTCAAAATGGTAGAGGTCATGGGATTGGAAGGTGTTGGTTGAGGCTCTTTGACGTGTTGCTACAGCGAATCTAGTAAACATTAAACACTGCTGGTGTAGGGACAGAATGTAGGATTGGGTTACAGATTAAACAGGCTGCTTTGTCCTGGATTGTGTAAGCTTCAAGTTTTGTTGGACCTGTACTCATCACACTCCTGACTTGTGCCTTGTCGATCTTTGACAGACTTTAGGGAGTTAGAAAGTGAGTTATTTGCCACAGAATTCCTAGCCTCTGTCCTGCTCTCATACCTATAGTATTTTTTAAATTCATTTACAGGATGAGGGGGTCACTGGCCAGGCCTGCAGTTATTGTCCATCCCTAATTGTCCAGAGGGCAGTTAAGTGTCAACCGCATTGCTGTGGGTCTGGAGTCACATGTACGCCAGACCAGGTCAAGACAGCAGTTACTTTCCCCTGAAAGGCATTACTGAGCCAGACAATAATCTTCGTTAGACTCTTAATTTCACCTTCTTATTGAATTCAAACACAGCCATCCATCATGGCAGGATTCGAACCAAATCCCCAAAACATTACCTAGATCTCCAGATTAAAGTGGTAACCTGCAGGACATTGATAGTGGGGGAATTCAGTGATGTTTGAATCATGTCTGGTCTGGACCCCCTGATCCTTGCCAGGGCAGGAGTCTCAATCGATTGAACTGCCATCAATGTCGAAGACTGATGGGGACCAAAAGAAAACAGACAAGATCCCCATGTTGATGAATGCACCTGGAAAATATGTCTATAAATATCAAGTAAAGGCTGGATTGGGCTCAGGCTGTGAGTGGTCCCAGCCCCCAAATGAGGAAGTCCACTAGTCCTCACTGTCTGTTTATAGCTGAAGTATGGCCCCTTTGCTAAAGGTTACAGAGAGCTACATACCATTACAGTCCAGGCTGCAGCCAGAACTAACTACTTCAGCACAGGAGAGGGAGAGACAGCAACAGCAAGTTTCCCATTTATGTAACGTGCCTTAGCAAATTGCAGTATTCCTAAACTTCATCAGCTCCTATAACTCACTTAAATAGGCGCAACGCTGCAGCCAAGGGATGGAGCTTTATTCAGATTGAATCATCCCCTCATTAAAGGAGCTAGTCTAATTTTTCCCTCCCTGAAATTTATTATTTGTCAGCAAAATTATTGAGATTATTCAGAAAGGAGGAGGTGCCTGTGTCTAAGGGAATGTTGCTCAGGGCAGCTCAGACACCTGAGAGGAATCCAGTTACAGATGATGTGGTG